TCAATTTTGAAATCCACACTAATGTGAAGTAGCGTCAGTACTAGCTCAAAATAGATAATCCCACAGCAATGAATATTTGCCATATATAGTTTTTTTTTAAGCTGATCTGCTTATTAAATTAATTGTCTTGGATTAATTATTAAATTTGGGCACACTACTTGGATAAATTGACCTAAAATTAAAAACTTTCATACACTGCTGGTGGGGCTGTCAAATTATACAACCACTGTGGAAAGTAGTATGGTGATTCCATAAAAAGTTGGAATTAGAAATACCATTTGATCCAGCAACCCCATTACTAGGTATACATCCTAAAGGGAGAGCCAGGACAAGAACAGATATATGCACACTCATGTTCACTGCAGCACTATTTACAACAGCAAAAAGATGGAAACAATCTATGTGCACATCAACAGAAGAATGGATAAGCAAACTATGGTACATACACGCAGTGGAATACTATGCAACACTAAAGAATAACGTCAAATCTGCAAAACACTGCATAATGTGGATGAACTTGGAGGATATTATGCTAACTGAAATAAATCAATTATAGAAGAACAAATATTATATTAGTCCATTATTGTAAAAGTCAAGAGAAGGTTTATATATGGAAGGAAACATTCTGTGCTGGTTACCAGGGGTGTGAGGGGAGGGGAGGGAACACTCTAAAAATAAAAATTAAAAACAAACTTTAGAACAATGTTTCTTGATCTTCAATGGACAAATCAATCACCCAGGGATCTTATTAAAATGCAGATTCTGGCCTACAAGGCCTGGGATTAGGGCCTTAAATTCTACATTTTTAAGAAGCTCCTAGGTGATGATAACGATACTTGTCTTCAGAATACACTTTTAGAGTAACAAGATGATAGACCAAGAGCGCACAAACTATGGTCTTTGGGCCAAAACTGGCCTGCTGTTTTGATAAATAAAGTTTAATGGAACACAGCCATACCCAATCCAACACATTGTCTATGGTTACTTTCATGCTACAAAGGAAAAGCTCAGTAGCTGCAACACAGACATACCACATAGCTAACATAATTATTATCTGGACCTTTACAGAAAAAGTTCGTCAACCTTGTTATAAATAATACCCAAAATGTACTATTCAAACATGGGAAGTAAGAGTAAAGTAGAGGTGTCAGTGGTTTTGTGGGGTTATTAAATCCTGCTCTTTAAATTTTTCATATAGTATACCAATGGATCCCTTTATGCTGGACAGAAACAAGAAGACTGCAGGTCTTAAAATCAACAAGACCAGAAGTTGGTTTTTTGAAAAGATCAATAAAATTGACAAACCACTGGCAAATTTAACAAAGGAAAAGAGGGAGAGAATAC